CGAAACATTTTCCATCCACACCATAAATCTTCATCGTTTGTCACACAATCTGCTTACTTACTCAACCAGCTAAGTGTTTTTTAAAACATGCTGCCAGATAAAAGCAGAAATGTTTGTGTATCAAAACGTCGATAAAGCCATCTGTCACCCGCTGATTCTTTAGTTTTTTTCTAGATAAGGGCACAGTGAATGATAGAAATATGATAATGTGTGGTATTTGTGAAAACGATGTTCACAGTTTTTCGAAGAGTAACTCGTTAAGTTAAGATCGGCTAACGGTACAAGAATCTTTCGTTATCAAACCTAACACTATTTTCTGTTTAACATCATTATTTCTATTCAAATTAATTGTTTTGAGTCCATACTGTCTTGCAGACGATAGGAAATTTATGATAATTTCAGCGGTTAGTTAAGTGCGACTACCTTTACGGGTTAAATATTTTCTTAATTGATATATTCCTTGTCTAATTATGCTTATTCAGATAATTAGCGCTTAAGTGTTCTTCTAAATCGCATTTGCCATACGATTTTACTTCGGAAACTTTTAATTAATTGCAAGTTGCTTAGGTTTGTTTAATTGTCATCAGCCAGCTTTAAATGTAAATCACTGTGCGGATTAAAAAGTATTTAACACTGTGTGCATAAATTTCCAATTACATATATTGTTAGTAACATGTGTCACATTGAGAAACAGCCTAATATAATAATCATTCTCAAGATTTAGCGTTGATTTAGGAATAGTCTGAAAACAATTATAGAGGATTTCCATAATGGAGCTTCCAAAATAAATTAGCCATTACTACGATATTAATAATATTCTGGTTTAATTGGGAATATAGATAAGGAATAACGCCTACAAAAAGTATTAAGTTATAAACGAAAAAAATTATAAGATCACTATTCACTATTCACTATTCAATTGCGTGGAACCCAAACTAATGAAATACAAACAATTCTGGTCAAATTTGTCAGTCGTAAATTCTGATACGGTATGTAAATTCTATTCTATTTAAACGAGCGTGTAAACGGGGAATATAAAATTAGCTGATTACTTGCCTAATAATGACTTATATAAAGCCGTAAAGTTACTTCACAAACCAACCGGCTCTAAAGTGTTTCATTATGGTTGCCATAATAAGATCGTAAAAGTACTATAAAATTCGGGTGCGCTAAACTCGACTCTACTCTGCGAGGCCGTAAAGAATTGGGTCTACCGAACATCCACTTCGGCACTTTTTGTATGCAAGAAGGTAAAGATATAGTTGTAAAAGAAACGTTTTATTCGTATTTGAGTGATCATAAATGTCACCAATACTAGCAAAAGGAACTTATGGCTTTCGCACACCGTAAAGCTTAACAAATGAGCCGGGCGCGTGCCAAATGCCATAAAAATTTTATGAAGGAATTACATAAACCACAACGATTTGTTTATACTATAATGATGATATTAAAAATTTTACGATTCTTTTATGGTGCTTATATAAACCGATGTCAATTATGATAATATTTGTTTTGCATTTAGTCAAATTTGATTTATAACGTGAAATATTCAGATAATTAATTCGAATATTTCCCTCGTATGATAATCTGGCCGTTTGAAGTGTGCAATTATCGAAAAATTACAGCGGTAATTGCACAGTGTGCAATTATCACTCAACGATAATTGCATTGTTTACGAAAATTATTTGACAGGTCTCTTTTCATGATGAATTAGACATCAAATAGCTTCCTGACATACCTAAGATATTCAAATTATATTTAATAAACATAAGTAATAAAATTAAAAGTGTAATAAAATATAATAGAAATAAAATGAATCCACATTCACTTTGTTTACTCAGGAAATAATCATCAAAATTACACTCGTGCATCAAAATAAACAGATAATTTTGCATTCGAGCTTTTTGTCTTGTAAAAACTGCATTCGTTTATTTTGACATTGGAACGAAAAAGCCCTCCTCCCTCGGAGTCGGGCTTTTTCGCCACAATATGAAAATAAACTCATGCAGTTTTCATGCAAAATTACCCGTAATTTTGAAGCAGTTGTGCAATTACCCCCGATAATAAGCGATAACTACTGGATAAATTATTGGCTTCTAATTCGTCTCAGTAAACATGAATAACTTTACAATTTGCTGGACTTCACATTTTGAATGAAGAATAGTGACACAATTAACATCACTGAGAATTTAAGGAAATTTTTAAGTTGATTAGTTATAATTTTGAGGACATTTTTGCCATAAACTCTGCTGTATTTAGTTTGCACTAACGAATATTTCCACGTATTGAGTAAAGAGGGTTCACCTCTGCTATCTTCAATATGGATGTTTTATAACAAGGTACACACCGTGGAATCAATGTTCCTTGTCGGAATCGACCTTTTTTTCAAATTTATGTTTTTTTTTAATAATACTAAAATGTTTATGTTGGTTCAACTTTTTGGGGGAATTTCATTTGTGAGCAGTTTCGGTTTTATCTTCCCTTACTCTTAACATGGCTGCACACTTCGGCAATTTCGTCGGGTTGCAAACAAGCATTCTTTGATTATTATTTATTCTATTATTGATTAATGTTATTAATAAAACTATTTTTCTAAATTTAATAACCTGCCTTACGTGTTCAGCGGGATTTGCTAGTAACGGTTTTATAGAGGTTTCACATTTTTCAACACTTTTTTTAGTAGGTTATTCAGTTTCCGTAAGAAAATGCTGATATTACACCACCCAATTTTCCCCGAATTATTGGCCAATAAAGTGGGCTACTTATTGAAGATCATACTGTTGGCCTCCATCGACATTTACATTTGAATGTAATTTTTACAATAAATTGGTTCTAACAATAAATTTCAAACTTATGTGTGCCAAGAGCCAAGAGCGAAATCCTTTGCTTATCCTTGCAGAGAAACGACTAATTTGCTTGATTAGTTTGCTGAAAAGATTTTCAGCATTTGAAACACAATAAAAAAAATAACCAAGCCCCAATTCCTTGTCACTTTATTTCGAGAATCGCTGAAAACCTCGTCATTGCACCCTAAAAGTTCCCAGAAAATTTGCGCACTCCAAGTTACACTAAGTATGCAATAAATTGTACCATTTATCTATCGCTTTACGCTCATATGTGGTGAGTTTCAGTAATTGGGCCGATTTAGTCGCCATTAAGTCGGGGTAAAGTGCGTAGTGTACTTTCTATTAGACTTGAACTAAGCATCTTTGATTCACTAATGTCTACCTTGCTATAAAATATCAATATATGCGCCAATTTTATAGATTGAAACAAAATTTTGAATGCACGGTTGTACGACCTTTCCTCGAAACTGATGCGGTTTTAGCATTTGAAGGCGGGCGTGAAAAATAATTTCTTTCTGATGTTTCGCAAACACAAGAAGCATCTTCAGAGGTAGTGTGCCCAAAGCTCATGAGAATCAATTCAGTGTCAGCAATCGAGCAAATCACCTCTGAGGATGCAAGCTACTTGTGCTTGCGCAACGATGCCTGAAAAACTGACCAGTATTGTTTTATGTTTCATGTTTCATTTTGGTTCCATAATTTGTACAATTTTTGGTTGTTTAAAGGTATATACAGTTTTCTTATGTACGTATATTGTGCAAATAACGCAACATTTTAATATTTTTTTGTCGTTTTACAAATTAGCTGGATATGTGAAATGCGTTAGAAGAATCGAAATTAATACGTATAAGAAACAGAAATATTTGTAAGTTATAGATGTTATACCTAGTTGAAAGCAGGAAAAAAAGATATTCTACAGACTTGAGCAGAAGTATTAGGCATATTGCAAATATTGGATAAATCATAAGAAAAAAAATTATTCAATGTTAGATTCAAATTTACTACATGCACTTTATAAATAAGTTAAATTTTTCATTTTAATATCTTGCTACTTAATAGAAACTTTCCACTGAACAGGAGTCGTTTTTTGACCATTACAGATATTATGACTGAGTGCTAACACTAATACTAAAAACTAAAACAATTTATTATCAGTAGGTATTTATAGGCACAAAAATGTTGATTTAAATAATTTTTCTTGTATTTAATTTTTGCTCCTAATACGGAAATGCGGTTTCTTAACAATTTTCACGCAGCTTGCAGAAAAACCTATTATATATGATATTTAAAATAATCTGCACTTTAATTGAATGAATGAACGCCAAAATTACAACTTTTATGGAATGGAATTGAAAAACCTCTACGATTTTTCAAGGAAAGTGAGCGTTTATTAAATGAGGCTTACGAAAATCTCGAAATGGCATGAAGTTCATTCGAAACGGTCTCAAGTATTAATTCTGAAGAGAATTTTACCGTCTTCGAGCAAGCAATATTCTTTGATGTGGCCCATTCGAGTGCTGAAAATAGTATGCTTTAGTTAGTTCGACGGTTTTCCGAGAGAGGCCTGTAGCAGGCAAACGGCCAGATCGCAATGTGCCGAAGAAAGAGCGAACTATTAAGAGGGGCGAAACGGTCCTGATATGGACGATGCAATACTTGCGCAACATTCAATGTGGGCGCCGACATCGTGACGAATGTGGACGCCATTGGTCCTTTTATGATCCCTTCCATTGTATGAATCTATTTGCGTCTTTATTATTCGCAATTCTGCCAATTGTCTCTCTTGCTCTCGCTGTATATTAGAGCTGTGCATAAAGTGTTTCAAACTTGCTGCTCATATTATATGGACTATTTAAGGTTTAAAAAGAGGAAAATTGTACTTGGCAGGTAATCTGGACGGATTTGGTGAACAAGGCTTGTTTGAAAGAGTAAGCTCCCAGGGAGCGGTACCTGCCGAGAACCTCTTAGAGGCTGAATGAGGTGACAATGAACCACATTCGATTCGCATTCGCTTTTGAAAAGTGGAGCTGGGTGAAAAAAACAGGTAGCGTTTTAGCGGCAAGTAATAATAATAGGCTATTAAAACAGCCGCGTGCTGCCGCGTAAGAGTGGGGAGGGGGAGAGTGAGAAAGCGCGACGAAAAGCGTAAGCGCGAATGGGCTGGGAATGTGTGGGCCGGAGTCTGCTCGGGTGCTCCAGTCCACAGTGGGTTTTCATCCATCCGCGATCCAACTAGTAAACGTTAGCATTGCCGATCTGACAATCGCGTGGTATACTCGTGCTCGGATCATTTATTGCCCACATTATTATAATTACGTCGTAACCATCATAATTACACTTAACATCATTAAATATTTCCATCGTTCGGACTGTTTCTTCATTCACAATGTTATTGGCACCTTTCAGTGATTCGAGTGCTCAATAACTGCCGCCCAGTGTTTGTTTACATTTTGTGAACGAGTGACAATTTTTTGTTGTAGTTTTATTTGTGTATGAGGACGCATCCCTCTCTCCGAGGGATCATATAGAATCAGTCAAAATTAACGCGGCAATCATGAACTCTTATTTCGAGCAGAGTGGCTTCTACGGAGGCCACCATCATCAGAGCACCGGCTCAGTAACGGGCGCTCATCATCATGATCCTGCTGCAGCAGCGGCAGCCTACAGATCGTTTCCACTGAGTTTAGGAATGTCTCCTTATGCCTCCAGTCAGCATCATCATGCTGCCCACAGTCTGCATCAAGCAAGACCGCCACAAGATTCACCGTATGACGCTTCAGTAGCTGCCACTTGCAAACTATATTCCTCCACAGATGGACAACAAAATAGCTACAGTAATGCGGTGACCAAATCAGACTGTTCGAAAGGCAATGCAGATCAGAACGGTTATGCCGCTGTGGTGGCCGCCTCAGAAGCAGTGAAAAATGCATGGCAAAATGCTACCTCTGGAGCTGGAGCAAACCTAGCTAACAGCCTCTCAGGACCAGTCCGTCCTTCAGCCTGTACTCCCGACTCCCGAGTCGGATACGGATCATCCGGTTTGATCGGAGGAGATCCTTCTACAAGTCCGGGAGCCGCTTCAGGCACGAGAACATCAAACTCTCTCTCGTCGTGGAATAATCCTTGTTCCTTGAATACTCCCTCAGCGCAACCGGTGGGCACCCATCAGCAGGCGAACCACACGTTCTACCCTTGGATGGCAATAGCAGGTCAGTCAGAAATGATGTACACAAAGTTTGATGGCAAAAAACCCTCTTTGGCTACCGACCGAAAAAAATATTTCCCAACACTGTGGCTTATGTATTGGCCTCTTTGGTATTTCTTCCATTTTTTCAGAAAAAAACACCCATTTTATTGAAGGAAATCAAAAAATGATTCCTCTTAACCAAAAGCGCCCATCATTATGTAATCAAGTTGGTAGCGCCTTTTTAACCCCGTGTCGAGAAGTCAAGTGCATGAATAATCAGGGTTGAACGAACCAAATTGGTCTCTCTCAAATGCTCCCGGTGAACGATCTGGCGCTCTCTTTTCGGTCCGCTGCATTTTCGTATAGCCCGGTCCTTTTGGAGCCGTCCACGAGGCGATCAGCTGTTAGAATAGCCTATTTCATGTTTCTATAGACCGGAGTATCTCTGAATTGTGAGCGATTATATAGGCCAGATGGAGTTTAATTGATTGCGGGTTAAAGGCCGAATGGGTTTATTGACTATGACCAGCTTTCGCATTCATTTTTACCGATTTTTCGGCAAAGAAATTGTTCAGTGTATGCTCAGAGTAATTAAAATCACTTCTTGGACACCCGGGAATGTGCCATATTTTTGAAGTCAATATTACCGTTTTTTACATTTTCAAGCTGAATATATTAAGTAATTATCGTTTGTGGATGCTATGAACCAAAGATCAAGAAGTATTTAATTAAATCGACTTAATGTGAATTGTGCTTATTAATCGGTACCAGTCAATCAAATCACTATGCTGTTTTATAACGAATTTAGCTTCTTAAAAAATCAGGCATAATTCACACCCATCATGTAATTATTTCTTTACATCTATCAAAATTCCAATATTATTTGGATGCAAATTATTGGCCAAAAAATCGCACATTTTTCACGCAAATGACTTGCGTTATCAGAATATTGATTACTATGCGTTGACTAAGAATGAAGCCATTTCGTTCAAATATTTAGTAGTATTTGGAAACTTAAAGTTGCTTTAAATTCATTGTCTACGTCTACCTTGCACGGAAATTTATTAGGAACAGAGAGAAGCTTCAGAAATACCTTAAGAAATATTTTGCTTGATGCATTAATATTCATGCTGTTTTCATCGTAAGAATACCTCATAAGCATGCACATGTCGAACACAAGCAACTCAAAATACCCATGTAAAAGTTGCGCAAGTTACTAGACACTTCATTAAGCAAACACAAACAAGTTTATTACAAATATTATGACGGTATCAAAATTTCACAAAAAATAAATCAACGGCAATGAAAAATGGCCTATCTTTAAACTGGCTTTTCAACTCTTACACAGTTACACGGTCGATTTACATTAGCAATATATTTAACTAACTGAAAGTCGGTACAATCTTAAGATGGGTTGACACTTTTGAACCAGTTTCCAGGTTGCAAAGTTACGCATTTCGTTTTAATAAAACCTGCTGACTTCAAACTTAAAAGATTTAGGGATTCAGATGAATGAATTTAACAGTAAACGCGCTAATGCTCTCTCCAAATGCAACCAGCTTTCATCTGAACAAAATATCCCACTGTTGTAAAAATGTGAAAGTTGGGATTTCCGAAATATCTACATTTTCTCAGTAATTGTATACGATCGCACCAACTCAAAAACACCGTTTTTTCACTAAACTATGTGGACGATTGCTGGTTTTGTTCCTTGAATCACGGTAGTTTCCATCGTTTAAGTTTTGTTGCTGATGTTGAGCTTCACTTTGTGGACAAAGCGCAAATCGGTTAATAGTTTTTGACTTAAAGTTGGTACAACCTTAAGATGGGTGTTATTGCGCTTAAAGGCTAACTTGCTCTTCTAACCACTCATTTGAGCTTTTTCCCAAAACTGAAACAATTTAATTAATAAAGTCCATTTTTCAAATATACAGGATTTTGCTAAGTACATTGTTTGCCTCATAAGAAGTCGATCTTAGCTTACTTTTATTTATATGATATAAATATAGTAAAGAAAAGAAAAAATGTCCGGCTTCTTTGCGATTGATGGTCAAAGTTCTTGGGTAAAATTTTGGGGGTTTCGGTACAAAAAGTACCAGAACTTTCTATTTGATGAATAAACTTGTTTTTTGATGCACTAGTTCTCTCTTGACATTTATGTGCTCTTTGTAAAATCTCGACAAAAAAACTGGTTTTTCGGCTAAGCGCCAAAAATGTCTTAAATTGTCAATTGACTAGAACAAATAATTTCAATGCGCAAAAACTATGAATGCGACAGTATTTTACAAAGAGCACAGAATGTCAAAAAAGAGTCAGTGCATAAAATTTTAGAAAGCGGATGAACGCGGTTGCTTCAAAATTGGAGTCTTCCATAGGAACAAATTCACATCGAGTTTCATTAAAATCCATCCTACGATTCTCCCGACACTTTAGAAGAACTTTTACCATGAATGGCAGAGGAGCCAAACATTTTTTCTTAATATAAATTCACTGAAATCGGCCTCTTGAGTCAAAGAATATCGCAATACTCTTTATTATGAGCTTACGGGACGCCATATGTATGTGAAGTGAATTATATAACCATCACTTCCCTTCAATGTACCCTCGACCCTACAATTATTTTTGGGTATAAACCAGCATGCATGGATGTATAGAAATTTAATTAAAGGTTCTGCCCATTTTTGACCATTTTAGGGGGTCCCCTACTGAGATGTAATCGGATTTTGCACATCAATGCTGCCTGCTATAATAGCGCCACTTAGCGGAGGGTTTCGTAGAGTTTCTTGACTTTGAGTTTATCCGTTTGTCATCAGATGGCCGTATCCCTCTTCTTCAGTTAACATTTTTTAATCAATTAGTTTTAATCAATAACTTCGATTGTTTAATGACTAACTAGAGGTAGGTATGTGATATAGACAAGCTATGGAAAATGTGGTCGCAAACATCCATTAATGGATAAGCAGAGAAAGAAGAAGAAGAATGACTAACTGAACATTTATTCATTAAAAAATTACCACTCAGTTTAAAACCATATTAGGATTTCGAACTTTTTTACTTTAAGCATAATTCGATTAGTCGCCAAGTTGATTTTTTTTAATTTAAATCCGGTAGCAAATATTTTTTATCATATGCTTTTTTGTTATTGGATTGGTTACCATTTTACATGTTTAGCGATAAATGCATACCTACTTTACTAAACGATGATTAGCCAGCCAATTCATCATTATGAAATTCATTCAGTTTGAAACGATATTTGTTGATGCAATTTTCTAGCGTCTCAAAAATATTGTTACCACCAATTTTAACAAAATCCACATCCTCCTCTGGTTCTACCTAATTAAATGCTACGTAATTCTATATGTTGCGTGTCCTTATATCCATATACAGAAGAGTTAGAAAACGTTTTCAACTAATACGATCCTGTTCAGAGTGCATTTCGACTTACTTAGAACATAAGTAGAACTGACCTAGATCAATCTTCTTTGAAATCCTCCTATGGCGTTGGACTGCGAGTGAATTTCACCCTGACTTCCTGTTGCCACTGTTCGGACCCTTTAAAGCGCGTGTAGTGCTGAAAAGGGTGTGGCATTATTCCGGAAGCATTTATCACCCTAAATCCGGATCTACTACGAAACAGGTAGATAATCGATTGTTTTAAGAAAGTGAAACATTTAGCACGTATTTTCACGTATAGCAATTCCGTCTGTTTGTAAATATTTAATCTACAATTTAGTACTGGTTATTTCTGTAAGGAAGTGCAACAGTATCTTAAGTTGCCTTTTAATTTTGTCTTGAACTGGGGAATTAACAGTCGGCCAACTCCATATGCATTATGTGGTTTGTTATATTTACCGAACAGTTATTCATTCGAGAACCCAGACACAACAAGCAGTGAAAACAGCAGGCCCAAAAAAAAATTTGTGAAACTGTAAGTGCAACATTGTATAAAACAGTCAAAAGTAACGACTTTCGATTTGAAAAAAATGCGCGTAAATGAACAGGCCATGCCAAATGAATTCTGTTGGCCCGGCTCTTAAACTGGTTGGTTTACGAGCGGGCCTCCGGGAAATATGATCGCTTTCTAAAGCTAAACAAAATACATTTTAACATTTCAAAACAACGGATTATTTTCAGTAACAGGGACGAGATTTTCTTAAATATTTCCATTAGTTCCTTTTTGTTTTGGGATTTATTTGCAATACATATTGGTCTGACCTGACTGAGTCAAAATAGCAGTTAAAAATTATTTGATTGTTTGAGACAGCAGTTAAACATAAAAAGTTGAAAACCGATATTCGACCACATGTTTTAAAAAACTTTGCATGGGTGGGTTATTGGAATATTGGAGTTTTTTAACAGCGAACAGGAAAATGGTTATATTTGCTGTCCACACATACCTACCATTAGCTGAATTACATACATATTGTTATGCATGCAACATAACGAGCACACAGAAGTGACAATTGAGGATTCTTCAGTTTTCATGCAGATTATTTAAATTTATTGAAAAAAATTGCAATGGATATCATGCTAAACGTATAAAGATATATTCCCCACATCTTCACCTCAAATATTTTGATAAATTGGGAGGTTTTTTAATTTCGGAAGGCTGATATTTTTGTCAACTATCAAGGCGATGGGTAGCAAACTTTCCACAATGAAATAAAAACATTCCACTTCAAATTGGACGAATGACGTACCTAATAGAAAGATGTCTCCCAGATTGATTTACCCCCCAGACTGAAATTGAACTGTGCAATCCCGCATATCATAAACAGCCAAATTTGCTTCATTTTGTTTAAGTGTTCTTCTACACTCTACAATTGTTTGCAAACAAACCAAATGTGTCCATTTGATTCCTCGACCTAATGGTATTGGTCAACGCTCTTCATGCCACATCATTTTTGATAACCATAACATTGGAAAAGATTGATGGTACATCGCTTAACCGTCCCCCTGTTTAAATGGTGCTTTGAATGAAATCACTTTTGCTTGCAAGGCAGTAACATAATAGGCCGCTCT